ATTACGATTGTTTTATTTATTCATTAACCACTATAGGTCACCTGATTTTGGAAGGTCCACCCCCCCCCCCCCCCCCAAAGCCCAAGGAAAAGATGCTTATTGCAGTCACATTTCTTTTAAAATAAGGATTTACCCCCCCCCCCCCCCCAACACAGACACAGACAGCACTATCATAATAATGCTTGTTTGATTTACTGTGCTATCAACATTCTGTTAAAAATGACTGAGAAAAACAAGAGTAAGCTTATATTCTTTATGTTGAACCCTTCTAGGCTGGTCACGAAGTCCTGGTCTTTTCTTATACAGATTATGAGGTAAATGAAACATTTTATTTCACTTATACCTGACTTTCTGATAGTAACCCATTGGTAATTAGCTTCAGCTAAGCTGTTGAATCGATCAATGCCTCAATACAGTCATGGATTTACAATCTGCCCAAGTCAAATTACATCATCATAAAATATATTCTAACCTCACATGCGTTGCTTTGTGTTGAACTGCTCCCATTTGAGGTACTTGCAAGGGAGACACTCACAGTTGAAGTAAAAACTTTCTGGCAGGTAGGACATTTTGCCTCTGAGTTACAAGTAACTAGCCATTCCTTGAGGGACATATCATGAAAAATGTCCTCACACTTGTTCGGTTTAGAAGCAATCTCATCCACTGCAACTTTCTCCAAACAGATTGCACATGACTTAGTGGACCCACTCTTACTGGACTTACAACCCTGTTAAAGAATGATACATTTTAAACTTAATATGAATTATTCCATTTTAATGCACCTAACAATGTCTTGCCCCAACAGGGCTATTGACATTTTTCATAAATCTTTGTATAGTCCCTATTCTGGGGGAGTATTTTCATGACTATGTTTCCATTGTTTGTTAGGCATATGCTTTTGATTAGAACAGTAGTATGCTTAAATTATTAACTTGACATTTGTGTTAGCCTAAATACTTATTACTCACTTGATTTGAACTGTCATAAATGCTCTTCATTAGCTCCTCMTCATCACTGTCAGAGATTATTTCCAATGATTCGCCTTCAGTGTCTAACACGGTCTTGCTGGGCATCTCAGAAAATAACATATCGGTTTTGGTGCAAATAAACAATGTTATTCTGTTGTAGGGTCTTCCGACTTCTTCTCTATATTTTTCCAATACAAATACTAGTAGCAGGACTTTTGGCTTTCTTGCCTTTAGGTTCAAATTTTGATCGTCTTTGTTCTTCCTTACGTCGCTTAAACTCTATAAATCCACACGTTGAATTGGTATTCGTATTGGAAAATTGAAGGCCACAATTAAAGCAAAATTGTGCTGTTTTTTTGCGTAGTTTCTACGCCGCACTGGCTACAAAACATGGCAATGTTTCTTTTAAGATGGAAGTGTGGCATAAATTAGGCATGAATAAATTAAGGTTTTGGCGGGAAACTAAGAACTAGATCCCAGTCTTCTTTGTCGTTGCGTTTTCTTTTTTTTTTTTTTGTTTGCGTTTTCTTTTTTTGTTTGCGTTTTCTTTTTTTCTTTGTTGTAAATTGTTTTTCTTTGTGTTGAATTTTTTTATTTGTAGTATTTATTTTTTTCTTTGTGTTGAGCCTTCTGGGCCACCGTACTTTTCTTCCTTCCTGACATTACCACGAAGACGAGTGGCGCTTGTTTTATGCAGTCTCCCTTGCCGACAAAGATGTAGATGGTCTTCAGCTGAGTACGAAAGTACCACCAATGTACCATATCTTAGCTGCTTTGGTAAGGTAGTGCAGATGCTTATTAGTGGCAAAGATGAAATGTTGCCTTCCACAGACCTTGATATCGGCTTGAAGGAAGTCGTCAGGGAGATGATTTTCCTCCTCACACCCATATGGATGCCATCTGTACAGAGTTTTGGACTTGGTTTTCATTATCTTCTGTTGCTCTTGCCAAGAGATGTCCATGTCTTCTGTGATGTCTTCTTTTGATACTTCGTTCATCATTGTTAGCATGTCCGTGCCATCGTTCTTTTCCAATTCAATCATGTCCTTTTGAATTTTTACCTTTTTCTTATCTCTCTTAGCCTCCTTTTCTTTTAGTTTTCATTTTTATAAGCTCTTCTCTTGACATATAACGGTGATTGAATTTTGGTTTTAAATCAATGCCATTATGTCGATCACTTCTACACTTTAGATTTCTCCCCCCCCCCTCATTACACCTTTTTCATAGAGTTCCTGTTGAATTAGTGAGCACTTCACAGTCAAGTGGAAATAACCTTTCTTTTAGCCTTGGTTTCATTAACTGTCACATTATGTGTCTTTGAACCGGGGATTCATTACTTGATATGATGAGTATTCCTCATGCACAAGAATGGTATCATGATAACAGAATGTATCTGGCCTTCAGAGCTGACGGTTGTCGTGTGGGGCTGAAAGAGAATGTGGTCGTCAGGATTTTGATGACGTCAGAGTTCGATTTGAGTAGCGAGGTTCTCCTGTTCAACAGGTCATGTAGTTGGTAATATCTTTATAAGTTAGATAGAAGCGCCTTTTTTGTCAGTTGCATGTTTATCTTTACCATGATGACAGGCATATTTCTTCTCATCGACAAAAATGAATCAAATCAATCAATGCAATACTGGCGCTCTTGCTGTCTCTCTTCGCATTTTCAAAGTATATTCGACCAACATTCAAGTTCCTTATATTTACAATTAAGTATAATAAATTGTTCCATCCTTTTTCCAAACCCAAGGGTTTGTAGTACCTCCCTACGTTGATCAAGGAACATCTTTGGCTTCGCAATCGCATCATGGACTACCAGGTTTTGCACCACCTTCATATTGTTGTTATTTTAGAAATGAATTTATTAAATATTTGAGACAATATTTGAGAGCACATAACACATCCAGCAAATTTCAATTTTTTTTGAAATTAGCAAAATAGAAATAGAAATTATCTGCTATGCGATGTTCATTTTTACAGAGCACTTGAGGGCTGATCAGAACACAATAAGCTATAGAAATGTATGGAGCCGTTTCCTCCAAGTTCTGGTAGTACTGCATGGGTGTCAACAACAAACAGTCTACCCGATCGGCAGCAAATCACAAATATAAACAGCCCACAAATATATACGGCAACGGTTGTTTCATTCTTATTAGTTAGTTTTCTTACAGCTTCTAAAAGTACAGTGTAGTGTAACTTTCTTACATTCCTTGTGAAGACTTTTGAAGATCCTAGGATTTCCTAAAAAAGCTCGTAAGTTGATGATTTAAACATTTTTCAAAGATCTGGTTCACAGCAGTGCAGTTTAAATGAAACACCAGTGCAAATATCGGTTATACAAGTGCTAAACCTCTGTAATACCAGTGCAGATTACAGATTTTCAGGATTCTGATTGGCTAAAAAACAATAGAAATTTACTTAGCCAATCAGATTATAACAGTCGCCCTAGCAACAGAATAGCCTTCCTTCTCTGACAGCCTTCCGTCTTTGACAGAGTACAGGATTTGTTGCTGAGTCAGGGTCCAATATCGGTCTAATGGTCTTTCAAAACGAGCTCTTAGGAACTGTTGGATGTTAGCACTTTTACGCCTTAATACTCGCCACTCACATTCCCACATTTCTACCAAAGTAAATCCCTCGTTTCATATATACTGTGAATTTAGCTGGGTCTCTTCTAGCAGCTCCATCATGGGCTTCTTCCTTCTCTCATTGTACTCGTTCCCCTCAGTCAGATAACAATTATGACCACGCCACCAATAACCTATGCGACGGAACATAATGGTAAAAATTAGAATAAATAATAATGCAATAAAAAATAATTAGATGATATAAAGCCAAACATCGTGTGGAAATATCTTACCTTGAAATTGGAATACTTTCGGGACCATGGAACCCGTCTACTGGCAATCGTCTGTGCCCAATTCTTTTTTCGGTGTTGTTTATATTGTGTCTAATGACAATATTTTTTTGTTGAGCTTCCCATTCTAGCCAATGTGTTGCCATCTTGATGGAACTTTCTTTCGAAGTGATTTTCTTCACGTCGACAAGTGTAGGCTCCAGTTGGCATATCCTGCATAATGGCCCATAGGTAAAGTGCGTTCGCATAGTCCAGCAACCTTTTGACACATCTTTGGCTCCCTTCCTATATCCAACATTTCTGCTGTTTGTTTTCTGTTTCTCGTGGTATTTGTAGAAGATTATGCTTGGTCCCCCAACCATTTGTTGTTCTCGTCAAACAATGAAAAGTAAATACAAGGTTCCAGAGTCACGAATACATAAGTCAGAGTCACGCCAGGTATGGAGATCCCTTGTTTTAGCATATCAGTGTTCTTATCTTTCCAGAATTGGCACATTTTCTCCAAGGCTACGCAAAACGGCTGAACATCTATTGTACCATGCAAGAAAGTCCCTGAACGTCTGCATGTTATTGTCAACCAACATTTGCTGGCAGTAGAGGCATTTTTCTTCTGAGATGTATTTGTTTGTCAGCGACGAGCAGAAGGTTTGATGAATCCATCCATTTTTACGGGAAGAATCCTTTGGTCTGGGGGCAGTTGTAGGCTTTCAGGAATTTTTCATAGCTGAATCCAGGGGCAAGGAAGTTGGATACATCCAATAAATTTCAAGTGTTCGATATTCTTCGTGGGCGCTCACGTGATCGCAAACATAGCAACAGTTGCTAAGCCACCATACTGGCGTACAGTGAATAGTAAACAGACAAGCGTGAAGCTATAATTACTGTATTTTGACTGTTCTTTCCTATGGTTTTATTATTATTTTCGGCTGCTCAGCCAGGAGCAGTCGGGACAAAGGCATTTCTTTCTTTATAGTGCCTGCTGTTTCTAAAAATCGAGGTGAACAGGAGGAAGAACTCAGCGAAGAGTGAAGAACACGATGGATTTCTGCCATCAGCCGAGATACACTCACCAGTAAGATTCTAGAAAATGATCGTGTGTGTAGCAGGCACTTGGTTTCTAGACGTCCAGCTAACTTGTGGGATAAATACAATGTGGATTGGGTTCCGAGCCTAAATATGGGTCATTCGAAGGCAAAGCAAGTGGATCTAGAAGCTGCTAGTGCTAAGGCTGAACGTGTAAAGGAAAGAAGAAAGCGAAGCTTGGCGACACAGGAGAAAGAAATTGCTGAAAAAGTTAAAAGACTCGAAGAACCCGGTACGACTATAGCTAATCTTGAGTTTCAGGTGGAAGTTGAAGAAACACTCGAAAGCAATGCTGATGAATCCGCCAGTACGCCAGTATGGTGGCTTAGTAACTGTTGCTCTGTCAGCGATGATCTTCCCGAAGCAGTAGAAGCTCTCAAGTTGGTTGACAGTCAATGCCAAACTGATGAGTTCCAATACCTTTTTGAGCAGAGTTTACCTGAGCCACAGTTTAGCGAAGATTATTTAAAAGACGACGATGAAAAAGTGCGTTTGTACACTGGTCTACCTTCTTTTTCTGTTCTAAAATCAACATTTAATCACGTAGCACCACATGTGTTGTGCAGAAGTAAGATCCTCAACCAATTCCAGGAATTAATTTTGGTCTTGATAAGACTAAGGCTTGATATATTCCTGCAACATCTGGCCTACAGATTTGAGATTTCTAAAAGGACCGTACAGTGCATTATGAATTCTTGGATGGAAGCTATGTACGATTGTCGCCACTGATTCATTTGCCTGAAAGAGAGACTTTAAAGGGTACTATGCCACAATGCTTCCAGTACTCTTTTGGAAAAACTACTACTGTCATAAAAGATTGTTTTGAAATCTTCATTGATAAACCAAGTAACCTTCTAGCTAGAGCACAAACTTTCTCCAATTATAAACATCACAATACTGTGAAAGTTCTTATTGGCATTACTCCTCAAGGAACAATATCTTTTGTATCAGAGGCCTGGGGTGGACGCACATCAGATAAGTTTCTAACAGAAAATTGTGGGATGCTAAATAAACTTTTGCCAGGCGATATGGTAATGGCTGACAGGGGTTTTACCATCCATGACAGTGTGATGTTAAAACATGGGAAAATTAGTCTTACCTGCTTTTACGAAAGGCAAGAACCAACTGGATCCAGTAGATGTAGAAAAAAAACTAGGGGCATAGCCTCTGTAAGAATTCATGTTGAAAGGGTAATTGGGCTGTTACGAAGAAAATATTGCGTCCTACAATCGACATCGACTTGCTTCAAACAGTGGAACAGCAGACAAGATTCCAATGATAGACCGTGTTCTAAAGGTTTGCTCGTCACTGGTGAACTTTTGTCCACCAATTGTTCCTTTTGAGTGATCATTCACTGTATTGTTCTTAGACTTACATGACATCAACCATCATTAGGGACATATGGCATCATAAAAAATATCACTCAACAAATTGGAAATGTGGAGTAAAGCAAAATAAGTAAAAACAATTCAATTAAATTTAAAATATGCTCTTATTAAATTAATATGTGAATTATTATGAACATAATATTTGTGTATGTTAATGTAAATATTTCATCCAAACTTTTCAATACTGGTTATAGTTCTGGTAATTAACCCATAGCCAAACCCTCAACCTGGAGTACCAGGGATCACGTTGGAATTATTTTTTGATCACTCTGGCAGGTTTTGTTGATATATACACCAATTTCAAAAAAGCTGGTCACTCAAAAACCAGAAGGAATTGAATAGGCCTATAAACAGGAATAATCACTGTGTTTTTGTAGTTAAGATGATTCAGCTATCATAAGCAAAACAAAAACTGGAAAATATTCAAAAAATAACTTCAATAACCTTCATGAGAAGAATAATGATGTAAAATATTACAATAGGCCCTTTGCAGGATTAGGTCACGTGCTTGGTTACCGCGTAGCAACGCCATGTTGGGACGCAAGCGTCCCAAGCGCCATATTGAAATTATAGCGTGACGAAGCCATACTTGAAGTTTTATATTCAATTTATTTGCGATCTGTTCGAATCTGTTTTAGTATTAGTCAATTTTCTTA